AACTCGGTTCTCCTTCTGACATTCGCTTTTTTCCACCTTTTCTTTGTTGCAGGTAAATGTTTCATGTCACAGAAATATAATTTTAAAAAGCATGTTCTGTTGTAAGAATGCTGCTTCTTTTAAACAGGTTAGTGTCAGTTCTAGAGCCTGAAGATCAATGACATGGAGGAAGTATTATGCTAAAAACATTGCCTTGAGATTGAAAAACAATCCAAAAGACTAAAAATTAACATTTATCCTGGTCTGAAGTTAAATTTATATATAGTTCTAGATAAATTTAAAACCATTCGGTTCGTTTAAGATATTGAGTAAGGTCTTAGCAAAGGGTTTGGCTTAAGCAAATGTAGTTAGAGATTACAAGAAAAATCCCCATAAATTTACACTGAATTTTGAGAAAATTAAAACTAACCCATAGAGCCGATGAATTCTATGATAAATCAAAATAGGATTCTCTCAACAAAATATGCCAGAAAGGAACATTTAAGAAAGGAAACACATTTCTAAAAACAAGCTTTCTGAGTTCTGAGTATTCGACCATTGGCTTAATTATCTCTTTAACACATCAGTCCTTTAAGTACTGTTTCCCTAAATGCATCCTATCAAGAAAGAATAACCTCCTACAGTAGGTAAAATTGCAGACTGACCCTATTGAGCCCTGCACCACCTTCCCATGGTGAGCCAACGGATCCAGTCAAGGCCCTCAGCTGTACCTGAGGTGATAAGAGCTGCAGGCTGTTGGCTCTGGCCGCCATCCCTTGCCCTACGCTCAAGCTTCCGTCCAAGCCTTTGGCTCTCACTTTGTCCCGGGTCACATACATGGAATGCCTATGTGGACGCTGCTGAGAGGAGAAGGGGCTGGTGTAGCCCAGCCCGTAAGAAAAGGATTCATGAGGTGCAGACAGCGAATGGGAATGGCTGTTGTCCATATGCTCGGGCAGCTTCAACTCCTCCATCGTTTTTGAATGCCTGGCTGTGGTTCGGCGAGAGTCGAGAGTGCCCTCACTTCGGTTGTTTCTCCCCGAGGGGCTGAGCAAAGTTCTCGTGTCGCTGTGCCTGGTGGGGGTTGGGCTGGTGGGAGAGTTCAAGTCCAAGCAGCTAGATGGGAAGTACCTACTGGTATTGGACTCTGCGATTTGGGCCCTGGCTTCGGAAAGGTTGCTCACAGACTTGGAATCACTCAACGCCCCGTGGCTTTTGGCCTTGGTCCGGTAGGAAGGACTCCTAGAGGACTGGGGAATGGTGTCGATGTAGCTGTGCCGACTCTGCTTCTCACTGGGCTGCAGTGTGCCAGCTTTGCTCTGAGAGCTTTCCATGAATGAGTGCCGATTCTGCTGTGATCTGCTGCTCGACTTGAGGTACTTTGTGCCCGGGCCTTCTGAAGGCTTTGGGTCAATGTTGAAATCAAACTCTGTCTTTGACTTGGCTTCTTTTGGGCTGAGAAGGTGTGGTATGTTGTTGTTGGTAAGGTCTTTGCTGGTAGACCCAGGCTGGCTGCTCGCTTGGTAGGTTTTGGTGTGCATGGGACTAAGAGTGGCTCCAGCGAGGTTTCCATTGAGGAAGCTTTCATTGGCAGGAAGGCCTTCGTCGGCCCGGGGCAGACCCACACTTAGGTTCTGGATGTCCTTGCTGTTAGATCTGTGGTGAGACTGCAAAGCAGTACTTTTGCTGGCTTGGTTTCTATGTTAAAAACAAAAAAGGTAGATCAGTTTTCCTCAGTAGCAGACATACAAATGTATCATAAAAGAACAAGTACCTCCAACACCTCAAAGACTAGAAACATCAACTCTCTCAAACTTGTGTCGACAAATGACAAGTAACCATAAGAAGTAAGTTCCTTAGATCAAGTCTCTGCAGCAAAGCACTGGTCCTAATGAAATGATTTGGGCATCTTTAAAAGCTCAGCTAACTGGCTGCCAATAGAGTTTCTAACCGATAATCTGGGAAAACATGCTTTTGCTATGTTGGTGCTCACATGAGTGCTTGTTACAGAAGACAGTTGAGCTATAGACAAACTCTTTATGACTCTTTTGTCTGCTCAAATGTCAGAAGGCAACATTTAGACTTGAAGGTCACAGTGTTCCTTGAAGTTCCTTTTTATTTGTCAAACTCACAGCCTGCCTCAGCGATATATACTCACAGCATATACACACAGACATCAGCGTCTCTTTTGTCTCTAGCCTGTAACGTCAAAGGATGAGAATTCTAGCAATGTACTCAATAAAAGAAAATGACACTCTAAAAAGAAATGTAAACTGCCTGCTGAAGTTTGCTGGAAAACATGATGATCGGTGTTCATGTTTTAGAGAAGTGGCGGCACTCGGGGTACATCAGATGCTTCTTGTACCCTCAATGGGAATGCGTCTCTAACTCGATCACAGGGATCTAAAGAGTTTATTTCCCTCCAAAAGGCACAATTTATCCTATTCTCTATTTCACATGCCATTACTCCAAAATGACTAAGGCCTTCTTTAAAGCTTCCTTTTCTACTTGGTTTAAAACACAAAATATAGATGCAGAGGAAAACCTTGTCCTGTACTTGAAAGCTGAAACTGACATCACAGTAGGGTCATTTTGTTCTACTGTAATTATTTAAAGGATCAAATTGTAGTCTGCGATAGGTGAGAACATTTTTAAAATGAAAAAGAATTCCCTTTTTACTATACATTCAGAAAATTTTGTTGCAAATATTGTTACTGCTAAAGATGGTTTGATTTGGGAGATTTTTGTTCCCATCACACACTAAATGGAAGAAAAGTCACTTTTTTCCCCCGTAGAATGATAATCTGTGAAACTATTCCTTCCTGGTTTCCCTGAGAATTCACTTGGCTCAGGCATCAAAAGCCCCCTTTTCCTCTCCTCCTGTCTTTCAGAGTGTTAAAAAGTATCTGATATCAAGCAAGCCTGTAGTAGTGCAGAAGGCCCCGCCTCCTAAATGGCACTTACTAAAATCTCTTGCAGTTGGGTCACAAGAATTGCAGCATTAAATAAGGTTGCTTAAATACAAGTTAACTAAATGGCAGATCCCAGTCCCAGAAAGAAATTACAATGAAAGGCGAGTTTCACTTTCTGTTAAATGATGCCAACAGAGTCTATCCCCAGGTCAGTGTGGAACAGTCCCCAAATCCTAAAGGCAAGTTTTTCGCCATTAGACTCATTTGTCAACTTACATCTCGGTAACTAAAATATCTTAGCAACTTTCAAGACCCCAAAAGTGGTAGACAAAGAGTCTCACCCATAAATACATACAATTAAGTATGTTGGTTCTTCCCATTTGCCCAACCCCCAATCCATTCTCCACTCCTCTCTGCCCCATCCTGGGTCCCAGGAACTGTGTCACCCAGGCTCCCTTGCTGCCTAACTCACAGCTGGTCTGAGCACTGCAAGGGGCTGTCTTCTCTGTCCCTCCTGGCATCTGCTCTCTGACTCAGATCATAGCTGTGTTCCTCCATATCACAGATCCCTGGGGGTGGCTCCTCCTGCCTGGCTCCCCTGGGCTCTCGTAATCCTATTTCCTCCCTTTTCTCCTCTAGGCCTAGAAAGAATAATAGCAGAGATAACACGTGCAGATCTTGTGAAATGCTGAAGCTCCAAAGAGGGCCAGAAAAGGATAGAGGAGAGTGAAGATGGTTGCTAGAGTTTTTGAAACTCTTAGAAACACTTCTCAGTGTGGTGAGAGGGCGTTGAAGGGCAGGCTGAAGCACCCTCGCAGCGCGTCCAAACTGAGGAGAACCTCCGAAGAGTCTGGCGGAGACTCACACAGGGGCTAAGTATCACGAGAAACCACTGCCTTTCCTACTGAGATGTGAGCTTAGATGACAGAAAACAGGGTGTTTGAGTGTGTCTCAGGGACTAGGCGGGAGAGTGTGTGATTAGTAGCCAATATAAGGTGTCACGAACATCTCCACAGTGGTGCTGGGAAGTCCAAAGAAGCCATAGTCTGTGGAGAATTACTGTCTCCAATAAGAAGGGCACCCATGGAGGAAATATGTACCTCAGGCAAGTGTGGAGAAAAAGACGTTTCCAGATATATATAAACTGAGCTAAGATCATTCCTAGATAAACCATTTAGGGCTTTTTCTTTAATATATTTAATATAGTGTCAAGACCTAAAAACTAATTCTTTCAGCGATTTTTATTTCTGTTCTCATCTGCTTCAAAAAGGGATTTGGGAGGACTCCTGAAAGACCCAAGTAAAGCACATTCTCCTGAGCACACACATCTTTCTTCACAGATTTAAAAAAGGTTCCCAAGGAGAGTCTCGGATCCCCACTGGGGACCTTGCTCAAGAGAGTCACGAGAGGAAGAATACATCGGCCCCATTTCATAGTATGGGTTATACCACTAATCACTGTAGCACGAATCAAAAGTTGGTCTGCTGAACTTTATATCTTTGGAATCCTTGTTCTCTGCAAATGTAAACTGTACAAGTCAAGTGACAACTACAGCAACAGGGAGACAAAGGCACCTAAACTGAGAGTGATCTCAGGTAAGACAGGCATAACGTGAGCCTCCTAAATGCAAAAGAACAACCAAATGATGAATACTATTCCTTGACGTAGTGTAAGATCTCGTGCAAACAGACAACAAAGTGAACACGAGCTTGGTTAATAATAATTTCAATCTGCTCCTAGGCCTCCTTGAAAAACAACAGGTAAGAATGGTTTATAAGGTGGTGGGGGGGGGGGGAGACACACGAAACTAATCATTTTGAAGAGAGTAAACAACTGTAAAATCAATCTGCTTAATGATCGCAGTTAAGCAGAGAAAACATAGGATAAATGGTTATTGCCAATTTATGAATATACTCGCAGACCTAAAAAGTACCAGGTATTGAACTTTCAAAACGCCATTAAATTAAGAACTGTTCTACATGGAGAGAAAATTGGGGAAAATGGGAGAAAATTTATATTAAAAAAGCTTCATATTAAGAATTACTATTTTCTATTTCTCTTTTAATAGTAGATGAGAGAAACTACTTCCTGACTCCCACAGTCTAAGTGACAAGACTAAGCTTCTTGGGAGAGTAAAGAAGACAAGGAGCCTGTGACAAGCACACTGCCCTCCTGGAAATACAGCCAGCAGAATCAGAGAAAGGCAGTTCTGGAGACAAAACCTGACTGCACGGTCCAATCCCTTATGGGTCTCCCTGCCCCGCCCTAGGAAATAGAGATTTTTTAAGGATTATGCTGAAAAATTCTATTTTAAAAAGCACCAATTTTATTCACTCTTCCAAATTGACTTGACTATTTCCGTATTCTTATTCTTATGAAAAAATAACTTCTCAACTCAATAATTAAAAGACAAGAGCAACAAAAACACAACACCCATTTATACAGCCAGACCTACTTGGTTTGGTTGCAAAGATTGTCCTAAGTGCCTTCCCACCAACCCGGGTTTGGTATCCTCTTCCTCCCTCCAGAAATCCCCTTGCCCTCACCAACCCTTCTTCCCGCAGGCATCGCTCCGGGTCCAATCTACATAGAATCTTCTAGCTCATGAGGCTAGCACCCCCCTTAGTTGCTAACCCATGCTACCTTTCCCAGAGAATGCATAGGTTTCGATATACTTGTTAAAGATAAGAGAGTCTTTAAGACCCACACAACTCTGAAACTGCGGTTCTGAATCATGTAATAAGCATAAGGAAGATATTTTTGAATAAAGAGGGCTTTCCTTCTTTTCTCTAATTGCATCATTTAAGCAGCCACCTCCTCCACCTACTTGTGAGACCAGCACTGCATCTGTACTTCCTTAAAAGGGAATATTTACCTATTAGATAAAGTGCTGCTTTCCACATGGTAAGGTTTTCTTTTTGCTGACCTTGAAGGCGAGCGATCCAAAAGTCTCTGCGTTTGAAATGTTGGGTGATTCAAACACTGTTCTGTTAAATATCTGTCAGCCGGATCCAACTTCAGTAAATTCTTAGGAAATAAAGTTAGGATTGGAAAGAACATTATAAAATCAAATCAAAATTTAACTGTAATAAAAAACTTTATTTCCTTTTCTTATAAAAGAAATGCATGGTCATTGCAGAACATTTAGCAAATATAGTTTGGTCTAAAAAAAAACAAAAAAAAAACCCACACCTTTTTTTTCAAGGACTATCTAAATCACCCATAATCTTGCCATTGTTGTCTTCTGGGGATGTTCTTGCCCAGCCCGTTTTTGAATATCATATATACACATTTTCTTTTATAAAATCTGGCTCATATTATACACTTAAGTTTTGTATCCTGCACTTTTCACTAACTAATCAAAAACATTTTTATAACATAATTTCAACATTCTAAATATTTTTTGGAAAGGTATATATTCACATGAAAAAATATACATTCTTTACCTTTCCCCTGTCCTCCTCTCTAGAGGCAGCCATGTTATCAGTTTCTAGTGCATCCTTCCATAGATACTCCATACATACCTCTATCTGCTCCTTTTATTTTACCCAAATAGTAGCATACACACAATGGTCTGCACTTAGTTTTCTTTCCACTGGATATTAGCTCTTAAGAGATCATTCTGTATCAGTAAAGACCTTCAACTCCATGGATGTACCTTAGGTTGTTTTTAGCCAATTCCTTAATGATAAACAGTTATTTGGTTATTTCCCAGCTTTTATTATTATGAACAATGCTGCAGCAACAAATAACTTGACCGTATGTTTTCTAATGACTATGGAGAAAGTTTGTGGTATGGGTATACCATGATCTATTTAACCAATCTCCTGTTGGACATTTAGATGGCTGCCAGTTTTCACTATTATAATTAACACTGTGATGAGCAACTGAAATCTCTACATATATCCACGATCCCTTTCATAGGACTGACTCCTAGAGATAGAACTAGTAGGTATGCAAATTTTAAAGATTATTTTCTGTGTTGCCAAATTACCCCCTAGGAAGTTTGTCTCAAATGATACTCCTCTCAGCAACTCAGATTCTACCAATTTCCTGGCACCCTCATCAACAATAGGCATTATCATTCTTTTTAGTACTTATAAATTAGACATTTTAAAAATGGTATCTCCAGCTGTTTTAATTCATATCTTTAGTAAGGTTGAATATTTTTATACTTATTGGTTACTTATATTCCTTTTCTTATTTTTCTACTTGTATTTATCTGTGAGTGCTCTTTATTCAATAAGGTAGTAACCCTTTTATGTTGCACATATTAGATTTTTAACAAACTAAAATCTTTTCTTCTAATAATATTTTTCTTACTAGTAATTGGACCAGGTTTTAAAAGGTGACTCATTATTAAAACTAATTGGTTTTATTGACAAGTTAAACAAATATATAAAGAAACATGTCCCACATAACCTAATACAACTCAACAGAGCATACTAAACTTTGGCTCTTTGAGTAACAGGCACTTTCCTTCAGAGAAAGGACGAAGGGTAAAATTCCAGCGTTCCCAAATCCATCTCTACCTCACTTTCATTGGTTTTGCTGACAGTTAATCTCCTTGTGATCCAGTGCTGAACACTGGGAGTAAACCTAGATTTCCGTTCAATAAGCCAGAATTCAATTTTAGACAACCACCTACAACCCAGCATCACAGAAAATTTGAATTCTGATCCTATTGTATACGGAAATATTCACTTTAGGTCAGAAGATTCCAGAGACCCAACCTACTGCTTACATGCAAATGTAGTTACATTTATGTTGACTCAGACAAACGTCTAAAATTACTTCAACTCTTTCTTCTTCCTCATTAGAAAACAAAAACTGTGGAGGCATTTAAAAATGATTTTGGTCTCACTGGCAGTTAAAGCAATTGACATCAAAATGGTTTCAACTGTATGATACTAGTTGAAACAAAGCAAAGTGGCCTCTGAGTAGTATTTTAAGTTAGAAGTACATGTGATCTTTCAGAAGCCAAATATTTAGCAACATTAAAGTACTATTTTAATTTAAGATTATCAACAGTAGAAATTAATGCACACGCAGAGAAATATTTTTATATTTAGGAATACAGCTGTTAATTTTCAAGTTATTTGGAAGGATGAAGTCACTATAAGGAAAGCATAAAACTTACCAAGTAAATAGTTTCAAAATTCAGTGTTTTTGGGAAAAAAAATTTATTATTATTTTTTAATTAAAAGGGAACCCATATAATTATTGTGGCCATTCTTGAAGTTATTAGGGGCTTGGATTAATTCTGAAGACTTGTATCCCAACTAAAATGGCTGACGTGTGAACATATGCAGAATGAAATGGCCATTTTTAGATACTTACATACTTATAAAATTATCAAATCTGCTTTAGGGAAATGGCATAGAGAATATATTTCTTCATGAAAGGATAAATGGCATGTTATTTTTCAAATTCATTTTCAAAAATAACTAAAAGACAAAAGGAATAATTCTATATATTAACATTCAATAATAACAAGGCAATATTAATCTTTGGTGACAGAAGACAGAATCATGGTTTCCAGGAGTTGGGGAACAGTGGGGTGTAGAGTTTGGGTGGGGGTCATGAGGAGGCTTCTGGGGTGTTAATAATTTTTCATATCTCAATTTGGCTGGGGTTACAGAGATACGCCTACATTATAAAAATTAACTGAGATATACACAGAATTTATATACCTTATGAATATATATTTTTGATAGAAATTGTTCTTTAATGTTAAAGAAATTCGAGGGTAAATATATTAAATGAATAGGAATTAGACTGTTTAACTTTCAAACTGATATGAACGCAGAAAGATTCAGGTTTTCTTTGTACTTTTATCTGTGCTAGATTTTACCAGCTATCACACCGATGCTTGGTAATTACATTTGGCAATGACTGAACAAAAAAGTTCAATTATTTTTCTTTATTAAAATTATTGAGGTGACATTGGTTAATAAAATCAAAGGTTTCAAGTGTACAATTCAATAATACGTCTATGTATATGCATTTTGTGTTCACCACACAAAGTTAAATTTCTTTCTGCAACCAAATATTTGACAAGTTCAAATATTTTTAACTAAAAAAAGACAGAAGGCAGAAAACATGGAATTGCAATTTAATTCAGTTCTTTTACTTTATTCTATTTACATTTTAAAAGTTACTAAATAATTAAGACCCTGATAAATATTGATTGCGTGAAAGAAGAGATTGACAAAACCCAACTGATTTAACGGATAATTTATGCCTAATTAATCTGAATGAGCCTTGAGGGTTCTTTTTTAAATAGCATCTTGCAATCTGTGTTTAGAAGAATAGTAGTGCTGTAGAGTTGTTTTATTGTTTTTTTTTTTTTAAAGTATTTTGTATTTAATTCAATTTGGGAAATGTTGAGTGAGACAGAAATGCTTCTTTGCGGTTGAATTTCTGAATGCCTTTATATGTTAATAATTATTGTGAATCTCTACAAAAGGTTTTATGCTGTGTGGCCTTTTCCTAAGGCCACACCTCACTCCCCCATGTCTGACCCCACACCTATTTACGCAGTGTTCCTTGGAACTCAGATTAACATAGTTTAAAGCAGAGCAGAGTTCTGAGAGCACTGCTCTGCAATTTCTGACTGTGCTAAGTACGCTTTTAAAGGCTCTGTGCACAGTGTAACCTCCTCTGATTTTGATGATTGTCTGAATAGGCATAAAACAAACCTGATCTATTAACAAGTGTTTGTTTAAAGACTTACTATCAAAAAATCAGCACTTGTTTGCTTATACACTGGCTGACTGCAATGAAAGCTGGAGAAATAGGAAAAAAAAAGTTCTCACTCAAGGGGCTGACTCACTGTCTACTCGGGGAAGAAAAACATGAATAAACAACTGCGAGAATGTTTTTCAGTAGTCCAGAGCAGGAAGGCCTCCTGGACAGGGGCACTAGCAACAGGAGGAACACTCAGGCATGGCAGAAGCAGTACTGTCAAGTATCTGTATTTAAAAAATAAAGAGCCAGAATGAGCCATCCATCTGGGAGAGAAGAGGCCAAGTTATGAAAAAAGCAGAATTAGGTTCACTGGAAAAATAATTTTATGGGAGGCTCTGAATATCATGCAAAAAATGTTAGAATCTCTTCTTTCAACATTCATTTTAAGATTTGTTTTAATACCTTAAGCCTGAGCAGCTCTTGAGTGCTGAATAAATTTAATTATTTCTTATTATTTATATTTAATTTATCCTGTCCATTTTAGGAATGTAATTTAGGTATCTCATGGTCCTGTCTAGATGGAATGTTACCAGGTACTGCTGCAATTTTAAATAAGTGACATGCCTTTTAACATAGTCCCCCGTTATTTACCATTAACAGAAGACATTTTATACAGACAACATCAATTTGTCCCACCTTCATCAAGTCAAGTAAAATGCTGTTTAAAATTCCAAGGTATCTTCTCTCCAATGACTGAGGATGGTTGACAGCTGGAAACTGTAAGAGCGAAATGACAGGAGTGTTAGCACGCGGAGAAGGTTACGTGTGTGCATAAGCTTGAGTTCTGGAGGAGGTAGCAGATGGATATTGTCCTGGTGCCAATCAAAGTCAAATTTACTTTATATGGATATTATTTTTGGTGTCTATGTATTTGAAGTATGGATTGATAGAACTGGGTATTAAATAACAGGAAAAGTCACAGGTGAAAGATGATACTTAAATCTCTAGCTAGACAATACTGAAGCATGTAAAACAAACCAAAACATAAAAATTTGAAACTGTATTTATATATTTTATACAGTGCTGTCTGCTTATATAGATAATTCCATTATAATATGGCTTATACAGAATTTGTCCACTTATACAATCCTTAAGTCTTTTTCACAATAACATATCATTTACTCCTGAAAATTAGAGAATTTAAAAAGAAAAGAGAAAAGGGCAGAGAGGATAGTACCTGAAAGTCCACAGAAGTAGAAATAGTAAATTCAGACACACATTCTATTATCACTTTTAATACACTGTTTTAATGATCTGTTTTCAATTCCTTCCTTTATGTAAGTTGAAACAGAAGGCAAACAGGCTCCTAAATTAACAAATGCACTTTTAAATAAAATGAGGGGAAGAGGTCAAGTTTATTTAGATACTCTGTCCTTCCCTCTGCCACTTCACATTTCACAATATCTAAGTGGATGGTGAAGTATTGGCCCAATGCCATGAACTCCCCTCCCAATGAGAGGGCTACTTTGCTTTTAATATCTATTTTTTTTACACCAACATAAGAGCATTTTAAAGTACTGAAATCCCTATACTGCTAAATAAGTGGATGGGAGGGCTAGTTATGTGGTAAAATTCAAACAAGGAATTTAAGGGAGTGATTATGACCTCAGACCACACTGCCAGGTATGGTGGGGGAGACAGAATCTGGGTAAGACCTAAACCTTGAACTCAAGCACTTCACAGTCAGGCTGGAAAGGCAATCAGTACTGAATTGCGCAGCCATAAATTCTACTTGAAGCTCAGAGAAAGGAGACCAAGGTGGTTTGTGGCTGTAGAAGAAAGAATCCATAGATAATATTTGAACTAGGTTTTGAAAGATGAGAAAAATGTGAGAACCAATAAAAGTAGGACAGCACCTCCCAGACAGAGGCAGTAGAAGGACTACCACGAGCTTAACACAGACACACAAGCAATAACCTAAAACTGATTTCTGGGGAAAGTGATGCTATATGACGCATTTTAGCAATTATTCTTATTTCAAGATGAGGAAGGTGATAATTAGAAAGTTCAAATAACTAGTCCAAGGCAAGTCATACAATTAAAAAGCAGAACTAGTATTTGCCCCCAAATCTGTGGCACAAAAGCTACACTCGTTCCAAACCTAGGCACCGCTCCTAAGAGGAACAGAGGTTTATCCAGGTGTTGTCAGAGCATTAAATACCAGCCCAGAGAGAGAGCTACTTGTCATGCTGTGATAAAAGACTCTATCTATATTAAGACATTTTAATGAATATTTTGCTTATGAGGCCTATCTTAGGTTACCAGATACCCCTTCCTTTTTTTCCCCCTTAGAAGTAACATTTCCTTGATAAGAAAATTAATGCTGAAAGTCAAAATGTATTAGAAATATTATGATAAAAAATGACTAAGCAAGCACCTAACTTAAAAAAATTAATTTATGTGCTTTTGAATGAAAGCTACCATTCTAATATTAGATAATTCAACAAATTACCAAAACTCTAGAATAGAAGTTTAAAGTATATCCCGATCAGTAGATTTTTTTTTCTCCCTTCCTTCATCTCTTTGGCCAGTGTCATACAATGAGAGTGGCCTCTTTACTGAGCACTTACTATGTGTCAGGCCCTGGTCTGGGCATCTGAGATGTAGCATTTAATCTTCACAACAACCCCATCAGGCAGAACTTCTGTATCATCATTTTATATGCGAAGAAACAGAGACACAAGAAACTTGCCTAAGGTCGTTTTAGTAGTAAATATGGAGCCAGGTTCTGAACCCCAGTGGTCTAACTCCAGAATCTATGCCCTATACTATGGGACAGCAATTGTTCCTTTTTGAAAATAATGCACACCACTAGAGCAACATCTTATTTTCTAATCTCTACGTAACTGAATCAAAATGCAAACGACACTGGATTGGTTATTGGTGAGGCCATGTGTCACGGCAGTTATAGGTTACACGCCCTATGTGCTTAACTATCTGTCGCAGGCATTCTCAAGAAAAATGATAAAGAAAGACTTTTCATCAAAAGATGTTAAACCTCCAAAAAGATTAAGCTAATTTAGTTAAAACACCAGAAACACATTCAGACTAAAATGTAAAAATATTAAGGTCTATGAAAACCAAAGTGTCGGAAACAGCCGTTTCTCAGAAGGATATTTATAAGCAGTAGCATTGTGTGCTCTCTAGCATTTTACAGATAATACTGCACAGTGAGGTCTGTGATCAAACAGGACAAATGAGGAAAAGATAACCTTCATGCGGCCTGTCTAACCCAAAAGCTACTCATTCTTCAATATCCATTTCAAATTTCAAATCCTCCACAAATGGTTCTCTAGTGAATCCAGAGAAATATGATTTCTAACTTTCCAGAATGTTTCACACTCTCATGGTCTCAACCATGCTGAGGTGTATTAGACAACAGAGTAATGTAGTTAAGAATGTGGTACTTTATTATATACCATGCTTTATTATAAACTGTACTGTTTCTTAATCATTTCATGCACAATTTTAACTCTTCAGCTAATCTGTAAGTTATTAAGTAGCCAGGTACCATTACAGATCCGTTTACACTCACTCCAGCGAATCCAGCATAGAGTCTCTTTAACCAGGCAAAGAGCAAGGCAGCCAGCAGGCCAAGCTTGATGTTCTAGCAGTTAGTGTTAAAATCCTGAGGTCAGATACTCAATCATTTAATACCATTAAACCTAGTGGGCGCTATTCTAGGTGTGCTGCAAATATAATGCTGAACATGATAGTTCATTTCCTCACGGAATTTGTTAGTCCAGTGAGGATACATATTTTGCAAACAGCTATTTAAAAGAGACTGCAGTGAGTGCTGCAAGAGAGATGACCCTAGAGCTATAGGAACACAGAAGGGGGAGCTATCAATTCCCTTGGAGGAGTCTAGAAGGACTTCTCGGAGGGAGGACATGTGACATGAGTCTGAGGGAGGGAAGAGAAAGAGCTGTCTAGGAAGTGGGGTGAGGGCTGGGAGCATTATAGGAATGAAAATACAGCACTATAGAAGCAACATGTCAAGGAAATGGTGAGAAGGTCCATGTGGCTGCAGAGTAGGGGGAAGGGATGGGACAAGAGAAGAGACAAGGTTGGGGGGCTCGGAGCAAGGGGCTCTTACTGCTACCCTAAAGAGTTTAAACTTAATCAGAGATCCTGTAGGGGCTTTAAACACAATGAAAATAGAATTAAATGTGCAGTTTGATGGAAGCACATACTTAAGTCAATGTGAAAAGACCGAAGTAAAGAGAGAAAGTTGGAAAGATCAGTTTGAGAGCAGTTGTCAATAGTTCAGGTACAAGGTGCTAAGAGTGAAAACATTAGAGATGGAGAAAAGGGAAACATAGTCGAGCTTGAGTGAGAACAACACAGGCTGGTTCAAGTGCTCATTCGAATATTCACTGAGTCCCTAGTAGATGTGCTGGGCTCTGTGTTAGAGACTGGAAATACAGTGATAAAAGATATGGTTTCTGTCCTTGGGGAGCTTAAATTCTAGTGGCTGAGAATCAGGCAGTTAAAAATTAACAAGCAAACATATAAAGTAATTACATACTATGATCAGTATCAGTGCTTTGATGGAAAAAAGGGTGCAATGGAAGAACACAGGAAGGAGGCAGGAATGGTATGTTGGGGTGGGGGTCAGAGAGAGGGGGCATTCTTGGAGCCGAGATTTCCAGAATGAGAAGGGGTCAGTGGTTAAGCCGCAAGTCCAAAATCCATGAAGTTGGAAAAACCCTGGAATGTTTATGAAAGTCACAGATATAGAAAGGCAAGTGTGATGAGAGTTTGGAGAGGGAGGGGAATGGAGACAGGTATGAGCTGAGGTCAGTAAAACAGGAAATTGTGAATTATGATTAACTTTATTTCTGAACAGATTTTCCTTTCTACTAGACTGAGGGTGAATCCTATTGTCACATTTTCAGCATCTAGTATGACAAATGCTCAATAACTGTTGAACTATTTGCATCCTAATTAATGATCGTAATTTGGCTAATTTTCACTTTAAAAAAAGAAAAATTAAAAGGAGACGAGAGAAACTGTCAAGGGTAACTCAGATTCAGAAGAGAGAGAAAGCTGGAAGGAGATGAGCCGGAAACTGTATGTACTTCGGTTCACTTGTTTCTTCCACATTCAGGAGCGGATACTGTGTTGGGTACTCATGTGAGGGAAGGGGAGTTCTTCAAAGTGAAATGAACTGAGGTCCAGAAAGAGGAAGAAACGAAGTGCTTTGCAAATGTCAAGAAAACATGGTTTGAGAATTATACATTTAAGAGTAAGAAAGGAAGTGGTGGTGAGCTTATTTTATAGTTCCCACAATGGCCACCAATTGGCACGTTGGCCCAAACAGGGGTAGATGGAAATAGCTTTTGGGGTAGATGGAAAAAACAGCCTATTACTGGCCACTCCAATTAAGATACCTGTGCAAGCTGATTGTCTCTCATTTGGGGAAAGTTTATATTTTAAGATTTTTTTTAGTATATTCTCTGAAAACAAGTTTTGTACAAAATTAGCAAGTCTAGAAAAGGCTTCCCAAGACAACACGCTAGTTTGAAAAGAAGATTTGATGTTTCACATCAACAGACAAGAAATAGCTGCTAGAACAGCACCTTTAAATCTGCAGAATGCAAATATTCATAGTTTTCCTCAAATTACTACAAATATGTTTGTTCAAATAAGCAACAGCCATTTATACACCTTTATATCTTTTGGGGATGCTTTTTGGAGAAAGAAACAGTCTGAGACAACCGAAGTTTAGAATATAATAATGCATATACTAGAAATCACTGAAAAAAAAATCGAAATTTTCAAATTAGGAAAAACATTAGCAGCTCCCACTTTCAAATCAGACCACTTTTTAAAATTCACAAATACTATATAAGATTCAAAAATAAAATATTATAATGGGGATTATGAACATTGTAATGGGAAAAGGAATAGCTTAGCATTCCATTGTGTAATGAACAAAGATTTAAATACTGCTGTAGTGATTCTATTTTGGGTTTTAGCAAAGCCTCTTACCCGGAGCCCATGGAAGCGAGGATTACTGTAGAAGAGCTTCATCTGCTCAGATGGAAGTGGTCCTAGCACCTTCTGAATAGTAAAAAGTTGGTCAATTTCGCTTTCTCCAGGAAATAAAGGCTGTCCGTCACTAAGCTCTCCAAGAATACAGCCCACTGACCACATATCTACAGACTTCCCATAGGGTGCTCTGAAAAGCAAAAGGAAAGATGATCTTGGCAACTGAAGAAGTAATTTCCAAATTATTTTGAACAGATTCATGATTTGTGTATTTAAGAAATTAAATACACAAATCATGTACACAATTAAGAAAGTACATTTGTGTATTTAAGAAATTAAAAAGTACCATGTGGAAAAAAGCGAGGATAAAAAAAGGAATTATGGATAGCCAAGTAAAAATTCAGAACATAAGTGAATAAATCTATGCTAATAAAACCAACAGTTTAATACCAATTTAGAAAACATACACTAAGTCGAAATCTATTCACATCCGAGTATATTTTGAACATGAATGGCTTAATAAACCTTAATAAAGTACGCACGTCTGATAATGCCTCACTTGGGGAATGAAATGCTCCCAAGAAATTCATTCTCTAGGAAATTATCCTTTAGCTCTCTAAATGTCAGAAGTTACATCTTGTCCATTTTTTGAGTTCAGTCTATTAAAATGTGCTACTGACTTATATTTCTTCTTAAACAACAAACACTGAATATTATTTAACCTCTGATTGCAGTCGCAATTTTTAATAACTAAGATTGTGCTATGCACTACTGTATTATTCACCTGAATCTATTTGTACCCTATATATGGGGATTTATGATAGCTATTCCCCTCAAAGCATTTTTTTTCCATTTACTTAGGGATTTAGCTCTCTTCTAGGATCTGAGTTTATTTACCAGGGGACTTTAGGATGTTACTGTTATTAAAAAATGGAGGCTATACACAAAAATCTAGGTATGGCCCTCAAAATATTATACATATATCTCAATATGTAATGCCTTAACTCAAATTATATGTAGCAGATTAACAAACCATGTTTTCTTTAGTTTCAAACATAAATATTCCAAGCTTTAGGGAAAGCCAAAATAAAATATCTGAAAATGGGATAAAATTCTAGAATACCATATAGTAGTAATATAAAACTTTTACCAAATTCTTACAATTAAAGCACTGTTAACAGTATACGGAGTAGTTTTCTAGGACAATAAATCACTGAACAATAAGTCAATATTTTATTTATCTCATTTCCTTCCCGCAAAAACCTAAGACCCATATTAGGAAACATCAAGTAGATTTTTTTGAGGAAGCTTGTTGGGGAGGGAAAGATACTAATCTTTCTTGAATACCTATACGAGAGAAAAAACTTGTGCTAGATGAAAAAAACCTAAGAAATATCTCCACATACCCACTACACATTATTTTTCTTCTGTCAACTGATTTAAATAATTTACACAGCTGGAACTATTTTGAATATCAAAGTCTTGAGAATGTACAAAAATGTAAATTCTTAATGTTAACCAAATATCAATTGATATCAATGGGATTTTTATACAAATAATAATAAGGTTCTTCGAGTAGCACTTGCAATTATTAATTAGCAATATTCAATTTAGATCAAAATTAGTTGGAATCCCCTCTACTTTTGGTAGCTCCCACATATAACCACAGTTTTCTGATAGTTATCAGTAGGCAGCAAATCCTCTCTGAACTTTTACAATAAGGCTGTCCCCACAATTATCTCACTGGGGCCATTTTATAGACAAAACCATATTCTGAGTCCTTCTACCATACTTGAATGCTCAGTTCGGGTTCTATGAATGATCTAATTTATACTAATTTCTTCCTTGGCAAACACTGTCCAGGAAATTTACAATCCCTCCCAAAAGAAAATGCACTATGCATCCCAGTGAGTCCAGAGAGAGGTACACACAGAAAGAGAAACATAGACAAAAACAAACTCTGTGGACATCCCCATTCTTAACGTGGGTGATTATTAACAAAGACGGCGGCAATAATCGCCCCATTTCTGCACATCTGCCACTTTGTAATGTGACTTTGCCACTCCTCTCATCAAGAGTTGGAGTTTATCTCTCTATCCCTTGAATCAGGGTTTGGCCATATAATGTGCTTTGGCCAATGACACAAAAGCCACGCAAACAGAAGAATGAAAACCACTTATGCTGCAAGAAGTTTTCTGTTATCACGCAAAGAAACTTGGACTAGCCAAGAGGAGGATGAGTCCCCACGGAACAGAGATGGTCTGTCCCAACTGAGGCCCCGTAAATCAACTAGCTTCCAGATGACCCACAGACTATAGCTACGTGAGCAACTCCAGTTGAGACGAGCAGAACCATCCAGCTGAACTCAAATCGCTGACTCCCCTAAATCACTGGCAGCCAGAATCATAAGCAAATAAAATGGTGTTTGTTTTATGCCATTAAGTTTTTGGATGGTTTGTTACACTGGACTAGGTAACAGGTAGCTGGCATTTAACGGAAGTTCTTATCTTCCATAGATGACCCCAGAGCTAATGATTAGGATCAGCAGATGTCATTCTACTGGGGGAAAGTAACTCACCCAAGTAAGAGTTCTGGGGACCGATACCACCTGGTGGCCACATATTCCGTATAATTAGCATTATTGCCTTCTGACAGATTCCGAGCAAAACCTGAAAGACAGCAAAGCCGAAAGGTGTAACTTTGAAAAAGAAATAATAATTTCACGTTGGCAAAATATTTCAGGGCTTAGCAATATTTTAAAGGAACATAAAAAGAACATGACTGGTATTGATGGGCTGCTTATTAACAGTTTCTTTGTTATTTTAAAAAGTAAGGTCACTGTTCATATGTCAATTAAAATATGTATTCACTAAAAAACCAGTCTACCCTATACTAAAGAAATCCATGTTTTTGAAATCATCACCAGCTTTTGTAAGCATTCAGAGCATATTTCTACTTCCTCTATCTATCTATCTATCTATCTATCTATCTATCTATCTATCTATCTATCTATCTATCTATTTTTTAAGGCGAGGCAACCCTTGGTTGACCTCACAGATTGCAAAGATCTTGTCAGCTTACAATCCTTATTTTTTATTTTTTACACCTACAGCACCTGGTCTTCCTAGGTGGTCTCCTATCCAAGTACTAACCAGGCCCGACCCTGCTTAGCTTCCGAGCTCAGACGGGATTGGGCTTGTTCAGGGTGGCAGAGCCTTAAATACAGAGCATATTTTTAAATTAGTTCTCCCAATAAATGCTAATCTTAGGAACAAAATGAAGTCCCACAAGAGCCAGAAGTCAAAGCTAAACTAATGTTATCATAAACAGTCATCATATTTTGTTACGTGGAACTTAGCTGATCAGTTCAAGCCATTACATAAACAACTAACGGTTGGCAATGATGGCAAAAAAGCAGGCCAAAATTATTTTCATCTCCTAATGTGACTGAGAAGTGGATTAGAGAAATTTTATAGACTCCATTACTATTTTCCCCAAAAACCCTATCAAAAGGTTTCAGGGTCACAAAATAAACCAGCAGGTAAGTTAATTACCCATGTAACTCACCAAAAGCAATATGGATTCATTGTGAATAGTTATAGAGAACCAGAATGATTAAAATTAGGGGTAAAAATTGAGGTGTATGTCAGGTTTGAAAAGTGGAAAATAGTGTTTCTTAAAATGGAACAGTAAAAAAACAAAAACAATCGCAGCAAAAAACAAAACCCTAACTTCAGTTCATCAATACTTCTTTGTAAGACACATTTTGAAGAAATGTTTGTTTTGAATGGGGTTCTTCACGCTAAACAAAGGAGCTACAGACTCTGGGAGTGAAAGTAATTAGGAAGTCGTCACTGGGATGCCCAAGGCACAGAACGCTGCATGGTGCTGCCACGCGGAACTTCCTGACCATTTAAAATGGTCTTTTCTTTAAATGATGCTAGAGCAGGGACACTCTTTTCCTATTATTAACCATTCTACAGGCATCTTTTATATTTCTAACTTGCTTTACAAATTTCAGTAACTTTGGCGCTTAAGCAGATCATCGACTCATAGTTTACAGATGCATATGAGGTAAAGGGTCTAAGAGGTGCATGAAGTCTCAGTACTTGGTGGTAATCATGTGACGGATAGGAAGTCGAGAACAGCTATCACTCCTGAAAACCATATGCTTAGGAAATGCTAAAAATGCCAAGATCAAAATCTTTTAAATACAGCATTCATTATTTTCTTTTTATTCACCTAAGTACTTCTTAAGATTTTTAGTAGATATAGCAGGACTCTTTGCAATATTTATCATAAAGTATGAAGAAAATTAAGGGCTGTAAAAGTTTTCCTCAAGCAAGCAGGTCTGTAATATTCAAATTCTTTGAAAACATTGAGTGAAAACAGCTACACACGCTTCTAATTGCTATACTGGACAGAATCAGTCATTCTAAAGTGAATTCTTGGAATGCTTCCATTTCTTACTTGTGCCCCATCTCTTAAGTACTAATCTAATTTTTGTATATGAAAAGAGATGTATTCCCATCTACATGTGGATGTTTACATCATATTTGTGATTATATTTGAATATCTGGAAAAATATCATTTAAAAAAAGTCGTTATTTTTCAGCATATGGATTAGACAAAAGCATAGTTTAAAAAAGTGACTCATGATTTAAAAACCCTATAGTTTTAAAACTATACTGAACATTTAAATTTAAATGTTTAATAGTGCTTAATACAGAGTTTTATATATGGGAAACAATACACGATTTTCTCCTAGAACAGAATACAACTCAAAAACTTCCTTACACATTCAACCAGGAGCTGGAATATTATATATCACTTACTAATCTCATTCATGGAACATTTATTTAAAGAGAATGGAATTGTTCTAAAATATCTTTTGACCTTATAGATATATGCATAACTTTTGCATATATACCATACACACGTGTATATTTATTACATAGGCATATTTTTAGTGTTTATGATTATGCCTGAAACAATTTCTATAAACATTTAAAATATTACAAAAAAATTTTTTTTTATCCTACTCAAACCAGAAGGTCACATATTTCCTAGAAATTATTTTTCCAGAGTCATTAAGTGCCGGGCTTATGAATATATGCACGTGTATGTATATATTTCCTTGGAATTCTCATTAAATACTGCATGATGAATTTTTAAAAATAGTAGACAATATAGAAAATATACAAAATAGATTATGTAGAGAAAAGAGAGTACTCTTCCAGCAATCAACTTTGCAACATATGACGCAATAGAATGTCCCTGTGCTACTTTAAGTCAAAACATAAAAAATACTTTTAATATGCCTTTAAAAGCTACCTAAATTAATTCTGTACAGTCGTCCCCCCTTTATGACAGGGGCTATGTTCCAAGATCACTCCAGCAAATGCCAGAAACAGAAGACAGTACTGAACCCTATATGCTGTGTTACGTATACACACCTTTTCACTTAAAAGCATTTTATGGCTTCTCTGCACTTAGGGCCATTATTAAGTAAAATACGGGTTACTTGAACCCAAGCGCTAGGATAACTTGAAGTCAATCTGATTAACTGAGACAGATACTAAGTGATTCACACCCCGGTGGGACAGAGCAGGAAGGCGTGAGATTTCATCATACAATTTAAAACTCATAAATTGTTTATTTCTGGAATTTTCCATTTAATATTTTGGACCTCGGCTGACCGTGGCTAACTGAAACCTCAGAAAGTGAAACTGCGGATAAGGGAGGACTACTATACTTAGAGGGCTAAATTTCTTTTTAACTTACCAAAGTCGCACAGTTTCAGAACATCATTGTGGCTGATTAAGAGATTTTCTGGCTTTATATCTAGAATATCAAGATTAAAAAAAACAATTATTAAAAAATGCCCCACGTACTGCTGATTGACACCATTAGATCGCTATAATAGTACCTACCTAGAAATATCCAGTTATTTGAATGGAAACCTGTGGCAGCAAAAGCAGAGTAACACATTCTATGCTGGTACATAAAAGTTTTGATTAATTTCTTTTTGAGAAACATGCAGGCCACAATTTCAAAAACATTTTTTTCTCTTTAAATCTTAAAGGCATTAATTGCATCTGAGAGGAATATAAGAATGATTAAACCTAGGCCATCACATTTCAAGGAACTATTTTTACTTTATAAAATACTAATAACACAAATTTCTGAAGATAGACTATAAAATGCTCACACCTATACAAGATACCTTAAAAACACATATGAGAGGAAGTAGATAGCATTATATTTACTGGAGACAAAATACATAAAAGATACATTTTTCTGTAATGGTTTTCTATATAATTTCTGTATTTACATATTTCTAACTTGTGTGGTTCACAATTACGAATGTCTAATGCTAAAGCTATAATTGAATGACTCAAAATAAAATTTCTCATTTTTTCCATGGGTCTTTTGATGATGTAGTGGGAGTTGAGGAATGCAAACATGCAGAAAATGCAATTTAATTCCCCTCTTGGGAAGCATCTCACAATTCTATTTTTAGAGTACCAGTCATCTATATCATATGGTAGAGGTGAAAATGGAGAAAGAAAAGCAGGACTGTAGATTTCATTATCATGGTTTCCATTGCTAATAATCACAGTATTACCATGGAAATGCAGCTAAATCAGTTTCTTGCAAATATCCTCGAGCTGTAATATAGACTGTTATTTTACCCTAGATACTAGATAGGCAGCTGACTTAGAGATCTATCCATGACACCCTTGAGAAGGTATCTGCTAGGAAAGTCAAATGCAACAGAAACACAAGCTGTCTCTTTCTAGAAATATTAGGAGTTGGCATTCTTCACAAGACCTTTAAACTATTCTTAAAGTAAGACTATTTTAAAAGTGGTATCCTTGTGTGTCTGTACAGATCGATTAAAATGTAATATTCATTTACTTGATAATTCAGATAAGTGGATATAGCAAGATTTTCTGATAAACACTTTTTAGCTTTATTATTGTATTAATTTGTGTCCCATTACTGTAAAACTCTAGAATGCAAGAGAGATTATCAGAAGATAAATGGTGTAGAGTTAAAGATGGTACTGAGAAAGTAATTTCCCTTTTATTACTATGAACTACCCACCTCACGGCAATAAAGGACAAAATAAAAGTTTATGGAAGTATAATCATGGCCTTTATGCCAGGTTGATCATGCCTGTAACCTGCAACACTGGGCACTTTTCCGTAATAGCTGGGGGAAAATCAGGAGGTGAAGATACAGACTGGGGATGGGAATGAGCAGTGACTGTCAATGGTGGGGGTCAGTGACCGAGGGGCCATCTCTAAAGCCGGATTCTGGGTTTGTTTCACGTTACCTGGTCTACCTACAGGACGAAAAGGCAAGGGAGAGGGTCTCCCCCTGCCCCCAAGTAAGCTTTAAAGTTGCATTTGCTGAGTTCTTTGCATCACTGTATATTTCTACAGCTGAGAGTGGATATGGTTATACAAACACAGAGATCTCACCATAATATCCAAATAAACTTGCTGTCCACCCTTTTGGTGATGCAAAAGGAGCCTTGGAAGGCAACAATGTCTCATATCCCATATTTTGAAACTATATTTAATTAAATGGAATGTCAGTGCCTATGAAAATATTCTTATTGACAGTATTATGTGAAATAGTTTGTTAACTTTATGTTTAATATTTTCCAGTTCAAAAATTCCATACTTACCTCTATGAACAATGTCATTCTTATGGCACCAGTGAATAGCTTTGATTAGCTGATAGATGTAACTTTTTACTTTTTCAGGTGGAACTCCATTTGGCATTTCTTCCAGCAATTCAAGCATATTCTAAAAATTAAATAGGGAGCCATTAATCTCCAAAATTAGGTAGGCCCATAAATCACATATTAACAACTTAAAAAAGCATCTTGGATAATAATTCATCCCATACACAGTCCGCATTTTTTAAATTTTTTGCTTTCCATCTATAACCTTTTTAAAGCTAAAGCAGGATGTTCTATTAAATCAAGGTTCTCTTTTAAGAGAAATTCCATTTTTACTGCTCCCCAGTGCTGTCCCAAATAATAACCCTGTGTACTTTTCACTCTCCCTAAAACCTTTCAGGCATCATTTTAGCAGTTTTCAAAGGAAAAGCAATACAAAGTAGAGATAAGACTCTATAATGTATAAAGGAGGGGGAAAACAGTGGTTTTTAGCACAGTGCATTGTACATCTTTAATATAATTCTGCAATAAAATCAAGCCTTGAAAGTACTCCTGGGAGACCTGAGAAATACTTCTAAAAGAAATGATCCTTAAGATTAGCAGTGATCAACACAATCAGTGCAAAAATGAAAACAAGCTAAAAAATACCATTGAAATAAAAATTTACAAGACTCCAAACAAATCAATATTCAAAAATCTTAGAGATCATTCTAAAATTCATTCAAATTTTTTCAAGTAGAAACTTGACTTAACCAGTCTCATTGAATTTCCAGAATAACCAACATTCTCCATTCCCTCTGTAAAGCACAAGACTAAGGCCCACAACACAATTAGAGTTTATTGTTTGTAGATGACCATCTACGACCGCAGTTCTCAAATGTGATCTGTAGATATCTGGAAGGGGTTCTCAGACACTATACTCATAGTAACACTCAGCCTTTTTCATTGTGTTGACATTTACACTGATGGTATTTTAGCATGAATCAAGGCACTGGATTCTTCGATGCCACACCCTTGCAGTTAAAATAAAAACAAATCGGTTTTAGTTAAGGATGTCTTTGAGGAAGTAGTAAAAATTATTACTTTTATTAAATGTCAGTTCTTGAGTATGTGTCCTTTTAGGAGTCTACATGATGAAATGAGGAATACACGTACAGTACTTCTTTCTGCTGCACATCCAAGTATGGTAGTTGTCTTGAGGAAAAGCACTTGGGCAATCGAGTTGCAAACTGAACCAGCCACCTTTCTTGAAGAATGACTGACACACAAATGTGTTTATGTTAAACATGTAATGGGTTTATTATTTTTAAATGACTTAATACATATTTTTATGTCACTCGGTTTGACTTCTAATAAGAGAAATATTAATAGATAAAACCCACATAAATAAAAAGCTCTTAGGGTTCCCAATGTTAACAAGTGTAAAGGAGTCTTAAGACCAAAAAGTCAGAAAATCACTAGTCATACAACTTCACACTTTTGTTCCCACCAATCACGTTGTATACATATAGTCAGTTGCTTATAATGTTCCCATACATATTTTTAACCGATGTATTTATTTTAATATAACTAAATACCATAAAAACCAACGAAATAATGTTTTCAAAGATGAGAGTTTCTGTTTATAAGAAAATTAAGTTTAATATTTTGGAAAGACTTAATAAAGGAAAGCCACCAAACATACTGCTGTCTAATCAAATGTGAGAGCAACCACCATAAAACACTGGCAAGGACAGGTGATGGTGGTGATCAGGATTCTGCACTGAGATTGTTCTGCAATGTTTTTAAGCTTTTGCTTCACTTTGAAGAAGCTGGCACGGGATATCATAGTTGATGCTTTATGGGTATGACGTATGTAAGAAAGAGCCATCAGAATTCTACTCAAAACGCCTTGACCCACCTCTGAATAATGGCAAATATATATTGATATGTTTTCAGTTAAAGTAAAATGTTTAAAGTATGGATGCGCCATTCCTTAACGATTCTCTGCTTGAATTGCCTTTTTCAATTAACAAATGCATAGGAGGTCCCAAATGCACAGGGGGAATAAGAGAGCTTTGTAACAGAGAAAATAAATTGTGTCTCATTTCATATTCGATTCTAAATCCCGCAGTGGCAGAGAGGACTATCCCTCGATATCCATTCTTCTCTCACTCCACAGGAATACAATCTGTAAGCAGATGCATAGGTGGCCAGAGTGAAGAGTACAGTTCCCCTCTGCCATGCAGCAAGTGTGGCCATGCATCTAAGTCCTGTCCAATGGGATGTGATAGCTGGAGCTCTACCTTGACCTTGAGGACAAGGGCCACATCTCAGGGGTGGTGCAGCAGATAGGCAGAAGCAACCTGGGTCTCCTACGGCTGTGGAGCAGAGTCACCACACCAGCCCTGTACTGCCTGGCTGTGCATTTGTTCATGAGAAAGCAATTTCTAGCTTGTTTAACTCCTTGTGATCCTGCATCTCTGTTACAACCCTCTACCCCTTAAGAGCATCCTTCTCCTTGCTCTCTTGAGACCTGTTATCAATCATTAGGCACTGCTACTGATGGGAGGGTGTGATGGTCACCTCGCATGGAAAAACTACAGGGCAAGAGCAAGAATCTCAGGCCTGGAGGTCAGAAGACTGGAGTTCTGGCTGCCACTTACCAGCAGAGAGACCTCAGACACAACAGATCGTCTGATCCACAGAGGTAATTTGCCCATTTGTTCCTACTAAATTGTTACTAATCGTGAACAATCACCATGAGTAGAACAGAAATAAAAAGGATCAACTGTCAGACTTTTATGATTTGGCAGTGACAGCTTCAAATGGCATGATTATTTTTGACAACTGAAAAATAATATAAAGAGCCTCTGATTTTACAGCAATCCTTTTAAAACTTTTTAAAAATATATAAAATTTTAGTTTTATTTTGGTGGGGAAGGTCTCTTAGGAAAATACCAAAATTGACACAGAAAAAGAAAGCTTAAAACAAATTTTTGGAAAACCATAAAACAGGGCTTAAAATGACAAAGAGCCTTATAATATTTTTCAACTTTTGTTTGTAATAAAATTACTATATATTTGTTTTTAAATAGAAAAAGAATTTGTAAAGGCTGAATTAATTCAAAAGCCACATTACTGCACAGTCGTCTTGGCAACAATGCTTTCTATTTTGTGATCATGATAACACAGAGAGTACCTGGGAATTGATCTAAAGCAAACATAAACCTTTCCAGTCTTAATTTTCTTTAGATCAGGGGTCCCCAACCTTTTTGGCACTAGGGACCGGTGCTCCTACGAGAATCTAATGCCTGATGATCTGAGGTGGAGCTGAGGTGGTGATGCTAGCGCTGGGGAGTGGCTGCAAATACAGATGAATCTTTGTTCGCTCTCTCAACTGCCACTCACCTCCTGCTGTGCGGCCTGGTTCCTGGCCTGGGGGTTGGGGACCCCTGCTTTAGATAATAACAGGAAATCAGCAGGAGCCAGCTACTTACTGATCAAGGAGACCTCTAAAGGTCCTTCTGGTTCATTTTATTTTACTCTTCTTTAGGCACTGATTTAAGTTCTTGACAATAACCAACTGCTGTAGGTCAGCTGGTCACCAAGAAAATCATATAGGTACATAATAGTGATTACTGTAGCATACATTTGCCCTTAGGTCACATCGTTAAAACTGTCACTAACAGTTAACAATTTTTTAAAAATATACTAAAGCAAGTAAGCAGACAACTCGAACAATGTGTGCTCTTCTTTTCTCCTGTGGTTCCAATTCCTTACTTGTGATCTCATCTAGCTCCTTAAGCCTCACCTTCTGCCTCCTGGCACATCTTCTTCCCTCAAAGTCAAAGCACTGGCAATTCACAAAAGGGTGCTTCATGAGCCCCCTCACTCACCACCCTAGGTCTGATCTGGACACCCATCCTATGCTGGTGAGGTAACTTACACCAACCTCTATCATCCTGCACCATCACTGCCAATTTATTTGCCTCTCTCTCAGAGGCCCTGCTTAGGTTTAATTAAAATAAATCAAATCTAAAAATTACCTGTTGAACACAGATTCTAAGACTTCAGAAGCCAAATCAATATGCTGTTTAAACTTAAGATTATCTCTGTACAGTTAAATTATACAAAATCTTTCAATACATTTCAGGACTTTTCTAATGATTACGGGTAATACTTTCATTTTTAAAGTCTTCAGATTGCAGGTACATTTGACAAGCCATACTAGTCAATAATACTTCCTTCAGTAGTGTCAGACAGCCCTCAACATAAAGAAATTAGGCAAACCTCCACAGCATCAATTATTAACTTACTTTTTCGACATACTCAAATACCAAATATAATTTCCCCCGCCGACGAAAGGCTTCTTTCAGCTCCACAATATTTTCCTGTTTGAGGGTACGAAGCATTTTAAGCTCTCGTAAAGTCGTTTCCTTGACTTCTTCATTTTCTAGAAAGTAAACAGTGGTGAACAAAGTAAAATTAAACTTTTGAAACTACTGGTTAAAAAAGTCTAAGAACACTGAAAACACTAATTCCACTTTGCACTTTGAGAACTTCTGCATAAGAAGTCCAAAGATGGCATATTACTTACTTTTTTCCTGTTCAAAGGATCAAGAATAAGAATCTTAAAGAAGGAAGGGCTTACTTGACCAGCATGAACCGAACTTTCTGCTTGAATTTTCTTATACTCCTTATTGCAAAGTGTATGTGTAAAACACAGACTTTCAGATACAGCATATGAATCCACTGTCATTTTAACTCCAACTCTATATTCTGAAGAAACAGTTTAAAAAAGTAAAAGGGAGTCAACCACGTCAGTGTGCAGAGGAGCCTCTTTGCAGCATCTGTAGCAGCTGATGTGTTTTAAGCTCGGCCTGAAGCTTTGGCTTAAAAGAATTTTATTCCTCAGGCCGCACACGAGTCAGTCACACCTCGGTGAGCACAGGTCACATGCCAAGCATCCACAATGCAGCGCGCAGTCAAGGCGCAGGAGATTCTAAGAGTGATCTCTTTGAATGGCAGTTGCTGCAGGTTCCTGCCATTCATCTGTGACATTTCCATCTGTCCATCCCAGATGGTGTAGCTGCCCTGGGCTGGAGAACTTATGCTGAACCAACATAGCCTTCCGTATCATCGACGTCACTCGCAACCCCCAGACATGGAGGAAGGACAGAAGTCACATTAACCCTAATGGATTAATTAACAGGGGCGGCAGAGAAGGTAACACTTCATTTTAAATGAGGCTTTATGATTTAGCCGGGAAATTCTAACTACCACGTTTACATAGGCATATACCAGGATACGTGTTCATAATCCCTTATCTACGATTCCAAGAATCCAAAAATCAGTCTAAAAACTGAACTCTTTTTCTAAGTGTATGGTAAATCTCTTTAAAGACAAAACCTGTACTGACACAAGCCCACTTATACTTTCTGTGTATCTTAGTATGAATATTCATATGTGTGCTTTAGAAACAGTACCTGATTACCAGTTGCTATAGTAACATGCCATAATTCCATTCTAAAGTTCAAACATTATGAATTCTGAAACATATCTGGCCCCATGGTTTGGGGTAAGGGTCAGAATCCTAACTTGAGGGTTCAAGGTTGTACAACCCTCGGATTCAGGCACATCTGGGGAGGAAGAAAAGGAGTTTGGGGATGGGGTGACAAATCTTAAGGTGGCTTCTAGGAAGAAATACTTCCTAAGCAAGATACAGAAGAGGAAAAGGCCTGAATGGAGCCAAAGGGCGAGGGGAGATTTTAAATGCACGCCAGCAGTACTTCTCGGATTATTTTCTATAAAAGCAGGAGCTTTGTAGCACCAGAGTATCTTTTGCAAACTGGTTACACAATTGAAATACTCTCTCTACTTTAGCAAGAAAACTGTTGGAGAAGGCTGGAGCTCAGATTAGGAAAAGGCAGAGAGAGATACTGCCCATCAGATGGAAGGCAAGGAAAACAAAAAAAAAAGAGGAAGGCAAGAACCAGCAATAGCTAAGGCCAACAGTGAACCAGCCCAGCTCACATCAGGGGAAAAGAACATGGAACAGTGGGGACCATCTGGTAGTAAGGGGAATATGTGTGATGTGATCAGGGGACTTCCCAAACTGGCTTAGAGAATGGGGGAGCGGGGAAAGACAAAGGTCCAGCTGCCCTTAAACTTAGGGCTGGGCCAGAGAAACGGTGTTTGTGACTTTCGGAACTGCTAAAGCCTTTAGTCTTAGGAAGAAGGCTAACCTGCTTCTCTGCTACCCCATCTGAGTTACTCTCAAGCTTGGGGTATTCAAAGCAAAACCCGCCTATCTCTAAGACATAGAATGCCACACAGATCGCAATCAGCAGCATGTGATCCCCTAACAAGGAAGTAATTCAGCAAGAGGTAAACATATTGATTAGTCATGACCTAGTCCCTACCTGCTTTTCCGTCCCCATCTCATACTCCCTTCCCCCTCATTCGTTAGTCTTTCAGTTCCCAAAATATCCCCAAACTTTATTTTTCAACTTTAGGGCCTTTGAACTTGTTCCCTCTGTCTTGAACTCTCATTCTACTACAGGGCTGGCTCCTTCGGGTTTCAGTTTAAATGTCACTCCTCACACGCCTTGCCCGGAGCATTAAACCTAAGCAGGGCTCTGTCCCCATTATTCCTTATGACAGTACTCCCAACGTTCCTTTCGCAGACCTTCTCACCATCTTATGTATTTGTCTGCTTACTGGCTTACCATCTGTGTGGCCACCCCTGCTAAACTGAGGCCCTAGAAGGGCAGGTCTCAGTTCTTCTGTTCAACCATGTATACCTACCCACCCGGGACTGGACCTAGCACAAAGCAGATCAATTAATACTCCCTACAGGAATGCTTTCGTGGGTGCCATGAGGAAATCTCTGCTCATATGAGGCTCGCTCTTATTCCCTTAAGGCATGGGCGTCCGCAACGTGAGACCTAGATTTTGTCTGCTTTTAACCAACTTACACTGTGAGATGTGACTTTGGGCAAGCCACTTAACTTTTCCATTCATAAAATAAATGAATGGGCACACCCTCCCCCCTCACACACATACCCTAAAAAATCCCACGGCCCTTTCCAAATCTAATAACCTATGATTTCTTTTCATTAAAATTTCATTGATTATATGCCTGAACTTCACTGAATTTTAGTATTGTTTTGTATATACCATAAAAGTCTATACTGACTCTACTTAAGACTAGTTATACAGAGAAGAGACTCTTCAAAGAGAAGCTCAGAAAATCAGTTTGTATGTAGTCCCCAAATCACTTCTTTTGAGCAGCCTATCTTTTTTAGGAAATGAAGGCTTCCCTAATTTATGCCAGTCATAGGTATTAAAAGTAGAGGTAAGCACTCCAGCACTGAGAATGTAATAAAAGGGAATAGGCAGGAAGTGGAGTTATTAATCCCCTAAGTATAAGCAAAATGTATACTCTTCATTACTGGATATATCCTATCATTTTTGTTTCTCTGAGTACTTTTTGGGTTCCCTATACTTTATAATGAAAATTAGGGCACTAAATGATCAGGTGACAGAGAAAAGGAATGCACATTCCATTTACAAGTGTTTCTCTCCTCAGAGGTTCAGAAAGTAGCAACACTCTTCAGTGAGGCAGTTTTTTAAAGGTGGGCGCAGAACCCACTGAAGTGAGCACAGAAATTTCAGCCTTCTAGTTGACAGAATCTCGTGGATTCTTAATTGAAGCCAGTCACCGGTGCACAGATGAGGAAACCAAGTCTAGAAAGAATAACTTTCTCAGGGTGAGTGAAGGGGACATGACACTGAGTAGAACACAGGGACATAGGCTACATGGTACAGGACAGTGAGCAAGCTTCGGACAGTGAGTCAGAACTGCAAGGTTTAGGTCTAGATTCTGCTACTACTCAGCAGAGTGGCAAAGCATCGTGCTTTGGGGGTTGGAAAACTCAGGGAAGACCCTGGGGTCTGCATCTTCGTCTCGGTTACCCACATACCAACTGTGCAGCTTTGAGCCTTCGGCTCCTTGGCTATAAACTGAGGTTTGGGGTCCTACTAGATGATTGTGAAGGTCCTTCCTGCTCTAACAGCTGGCACTTGCACGCA